TATATATATATAGAGAGAGAGAGAGAGAGAGAGAGAGAGAGAGAGAGAGAGACAGAGAGACAGAGAGACAGAGAGAGGAATTGTGGTGTGGCGATGTAAAATAATAAGCATTGGACTACTAACTGCAAACCTACCAACTGCTCCTCAGAAACCCTATAAAGAGTTGCTGTGAGCTAAATGCCACAGAATCATAGCGACTCTATAGGGTTTCCAAAGAGTGACTGGTGGGTTTGAACTGTCGATCTTGAAGTTAGCAGTCCAGTGCCTATCGTACAGTGCAACACCAGAATTCTCTCTCATACTTCAGACATATTATCAGGAGAAACCAGTCTCTGAAGAAGGACATTATGTTTGTTAAAGGGTGTTGTCAGCAAAAAAGAGGAAGGCCCCCAAGGGGATGGATTGGCACAGTGGCAGCAACAATGGGCTCAAGCTTAACCGTTGTAAGGATGGTGCAGGACCAGGGTTTCCGTCTGTTGTGCATGGGGTCACTATGAGTAGCAACCCACTCAATGGCATTAAACAACAACATACATGTAAAAAATGTGAGGCACCAACCATTCCTCCCATAATCCTCTCTACTCTTCAGTTGAGTTCCATAATCTGTTGCAATGGCCACACAGAACTCAGACATCATGCTGTTATGGGCTTTATTAAGGAAGTTAACAGGTTGTAATACAGGATCAGACAATGCTTAGGACACAGTTGTACCAGCCAGCTGCTGACAAATGCCCACAGGACACACCACTCCACCATCAGCCTCAGCCTAAAGGCACTTGGCTCTAGCTCTGTGGGTCATCAAACCTACTTCCGCCACTAAAGTGCCTGGAGGCACCCTACTCTACAAGCAAGCTGCCAGCCCTAAGTCTCTCAGCTTTGCTTGCTTCATGGGCTGGGAAGTCCACTGCTCTGTCTCTTGAGCTGAGTCTTGTTTCTTTGCAGCTACTCCTCTGCCACTCTTCCAGTGTCACAACTTTTTGATCCTGGTTCAAAGTGCAGAGATCTTTGGGTTCAAAGGACACACTCCATTCTTAATGTCTTCTTTGACGGTAGTGAGATCCCCATTCCTGCTTCTGAGATGGCTTGTTTTAAACCCACTTAAAGTTCCCAGTTTTCACAATTGTAATTAAATCTGTTAATATGCACAGCTGAATCATATCATCCTACCGTTATCTTCTCCCTCCTATTTCTTACCCAGACCTATCAGGAAATGATCATGTGGTAGGAATTACAAAGACAAAGCTTAAACCTGATGTTTGACCTGCTGATCTTGGCCAGACAGCTACATGAGTCAGAAGCCTCTAGACTGTCCATCTGACCCATGGACTTGGCACTTGAGACTCTACAACTGTGTGAGCCCTTTCCTTAAGATAAATCTTTCTCTCTCTCTCAACACATATATATATATATATATATCTAGATATATGTATTGGTGTTGTTAAGTGTTATCGAATCAGTTCCTACCCATAGTGACTCTATATATAGTTTCCAAGGTGCAGCTGGTGAGTTTGAACTACCCATCTTGTGGTTAGTAATCCTGTGCTACACCAGGACTCCAGAAGATACATAAAATAATTTACTACATTGAGACATATATATATATGTGTCTCTCTCTCTCTCTCTCTCTCTCTCTCTCTCTCTCTCTCTCTCTCTCTCTCTGAGAGTCCTGTTGTGGCCCTGTAGGATAATGTGCTGGATTGCAAGGTTACTTTGAACCACGTTCAAACTCACCAGCGCTCCTCAGAAACTCTATACAGGGTCACTATGAGTTGGAACTGACTTGACAGCACTTAACAACAATATATATATATTGAGAGAGAGAGAAAGATTTATCTTGAGGAAAGGGCTCACACAGTTGTAGAGTCTCAAGTTCCAAGTCCATGAGCCAGATGTCAGTCTGGAGGCTTCTGACTCATGCAGCTGTCTGACCAAGATCATCAAATCAAACATCAGGTTTCTGACTGTAGAGACGAATGAACCCCAGGTTGGCAGGTAATGTGGCAGGCTGCTGACAGCTCCCAGGATCGGCAGGCACTATGGCAGACCACTGGCTCAAGTCCAAAGGATTGGAGGTCAGATGATGAGCCAGATGCAGGATCCAGACCCAGCAGAAAGTGAAATTCGCCCAATCATGCACATATATTAGAAGTAGGCCACACCCCTGAGGAAACTTCTTTTCAGTTGATTGGTATTCGTAACAGATCTCATCATGGAGATGACTACATTCCATTATATCTCAGCATGGGGGATGACTACCTCTTAACTGCCAAACCACTGAGAATCCTAGTCCAGTGATGGTGACACAAAACCTTAACTATCATGCCACACATGATATGTTTCTTCAACACTTGCTGCTTCCTGATGATATGTTCAAAAAAAACAGATGAAGTCTTGACATCCTTGCTTCTAAGAAAGATTCTGACTCTATTTTCTCCAAGGCAGATTTGTTCATTCTTCTGGAAGTCTGTAGTATATCCAATATGTTTTGCCAGCACCAAAATTTGAATGTGTCAATTCTTCTTTGGTTTTCTTTCTTCATTTTTCTGCCTTTGCATGTATATGAAGCAGTTGAAAGTATCATGACTTCGGTCAGGCGTACCTTAGTCATCATAGTGACCTTTGCATCTTAGAACTTTAAAGAGGTCTTTTGCAACAGATTTGCCCAGTGCAATACATTATTTAATTTCTTGACTACTTCTTCTATTAGTGTTGATTGTGGATCCAAGAACAAAATCCTTGACAAGTTTGATTTCTTTGCAATTTATCATGATGTTGTTTGTTGGTCCAATTGTAAGGGATTTCATTTTCCTTATGTTCAAGTATAATCCACACTGAAAGCTTTTAGCTTCACTTTAGTGCTTCAAGTTGTAGTCACAGTAGGTGAGCAATATTGTATTACCTATATAGATATCAGGGTGTTAATGAATCTTTCTCCAATCCTCATGTGTTCTTTATATAGGCCAGCTTCTTGAATTATTTGTTCAACATATTGATTGAATAAATACGGTGAAAGAATGCAATGCTACTGCACACGTTTTCCAATTTTAAACCTGGTGTGAAACAGGCAGAAAGTGAATTGAAGGAAGAACAATAGATTTGGCTACAGAGATTTGTCATCTTGGTTCTGGAAAAGGTCTGAAATTTCCAGGGAGATTCCCATTTTATAAATGGGTGTACAGCGTGATCCAGGCTGGTAACCATTAACTATCTGATGTATGCATTTGTAATTAATGTTCTTATAAAAATTCTGTGTATCAAATTCAGTCATATAGCTTCACCTTGTCCAGCAGCAGGCAGTGCACTGATAAGCCAAAATTTATATCCAGCCTACCCTAAAATTGTGTTTCTTATTGTCAGTGAGCAATTTTCATTTGTATTTTATTATTTTTAAACAGGGTCTCAACCATATAAGACATTAGTCCTATAATTTAATATGTAACTTAAAGCTTAATAAGAGAAAAGTTTTTCTTGTTATGAGAGTAAATTTTTTAAAAAATTTAAACCATTTAAAAATGTATAAAGTAAAAAATGAAATTACTCCACAATCCTACTGCCTGTACCCAAAAAACCTAGCACTGACATGTTAATGAACAGTTTGCTCTACATAAGAATTCATACCAACACTCCATCTCATAGTTATTCATTCTTTAGCTAAAAGTGGAAGAATCTTTATGCCCATTTTCTGTAAAAACATACATTTTTCTTTAGTGTGTTGAATGTTGTTTTTTTAATGGTGGCAAATATATATATAACAAAACATTTGCCAACTCAACATATTTTTACATATATAATTCCGTGACATTGATTGTGCTTGAAGAAGGTTCTAAAAGAAAATCACAACTGGAAATCTTTCATTTTCTCCCATTATATTAAACCCAAGCACATATATATCCCTGTTTCCAAGGCTATGATGTAACGTAGGAAAGCGACCAGTTTCTCTTCATTTCTAACCCATTTATGTCATTCTTTCCCCTGGGGTCACTGTCTTAGCAGTTAGAGCTGTGAGTTCTGCTGCTAAAAGAAAAAGAGGTTTTTCTACAGTCCACTTTTAAATTAAATTATTTAAAGAATCTCTCCATGTGGCACTGACTTAGCCAAATTTTCCAATGTCTACTTATATAAGAAACTATCTTTTAAAATAAAAAATACAATAGCTTTATCTTTTAAAAATATGCCATATTTAGAACAACTGTAGACATTGACTTCCAGTTGTTTTTCTGATGATCTTAGCCTTAACAAGGGTTTGGGAGTCCCTGAGTGGTGCAGACAGGTAACCCGCTAGGCTGCTAACCTAAAGGTTGTAGCTTTTGAGTTTATCCAGAGGTATCTAGGAAGAAAGTCCTGGTGATCCATCTGTAGAAAATGCACTATTGCAAGCACAGTTATCCTGTAGCACATGTGAAATCTCCAAAGTCAGAAGCCACTCAACAGCAACTGGTAAGCAATTTTAGAGCACAAAGGGATCTTCAAGTCTGATAGCAGTAGAACTGAAGCCCATAGTCCTTGATGAGCATCTCAAGGCCTGACTGAAACCTCCAACAAACGAAACTGCTAAGGAAATGGGAAATGATGAGGTTCTGCGATTATTATGAAAAAACTAAGGAAGTTTCACTTGTTAGAAAGTACTTGTTATTCCCATTCCTTAGCTGAATCGTCCAAATTCAAAGCAAATACACCAGAAATTACGTTTTGAAACATGATTTTTATACAGAAAGGAAAATCTTACATTTCAGACATTATTATTTAGTTGCATATAGAGAGCTCTGGTGGTGTAGTGGTTTGGCTGCTAACCACAAGATCTGCGGTTTGAATCTATAGCCACTTCATGGGAGAAAGAGGAAACCTTCGCTTTCATAAAGATTTACAGCCTTGGAAACCCTATATAGGGTCACTATGAGTCGGAACCAACTTGACAGAACACAAGCTCAAACCAGTTGCATATAAAAGTTGCTTTTTTGATCAAGGAGTGTTAGTCAGAGAGCAAAGTATATAATACTCACGCTTTTGCTAGCTCCACTGATATTTGTTCCAAAGTGCACCCCTTTGTCTCAGGTATAAACAGAACAACAAAAGCCAGGGAGGCTAGACTCATGATTGTATATATAAAGCATACCCATGATAGGCCAATAAGGTCTACAAAAGAAAAAAGAATTGGTTAGAAATGTGTTTTATGTTGCTTTGATCCTATTTGTGAACAACTGCTTTTTAGAACACTTATCAAACCATATGTATTTTCAAACACAGCTGTTGTATCCAGGAAATAGGAATCACAAATGGAAAATGTAGTCAGAGTCTGAAAGTTTCTAATGTATCAGACTCTGAAAGTTTTCATTTACTTTCTCTGGTAACTAGATTGTCATGTTTGAACTATCACAATTTAAATTGCTATCATCTTCCCAGTAGGCATGCTTTTCTCTTTCAAAATACTAACATGTTAATATTACTATATTAAAAAGTAACTCCTGGTGTTGTGCTGTAGGATAAGCACTAGATTGCAAACCACAAGGTTGGTAGTTCAAACCCACCAGCTGCTCCACAGAAACCCTATACAGGGTCCCTATGAGTCAGAACTGACTCAATGGGCACTTAACAACAATATTAAAATGCACCTGCTCATTGCAAAACCAGAAACTTAAACAAACAGAAACATAGACTGAAGAAAGCAGATGATCTGTTCTCTCCCTCACCCTCTACAGTTTCTCTTCTTGGGAATTACCATTATAGCAATTTGTTTTCTTTGGTGGTGAACCTTTTCAATGACATTTGTCTAGATGGATTTCTCATAGCACCATCTCACCCTTCTTTACTCTGACTGGGATACATCACTTCATGCTGACACTGGTTCATCATTTTTTGAAGAGCTGGCAGTGTATTTTTAGTGTCTTCTTGGGTTCAAGGGAAAGTATGATAAATGTCTCCTGTGAAAACCATCAGCTTGCTAACATGTATCAGCAAGAACACAATTCCCAAGCTTTTCGTGGATCTCACTTCTAGTTTACCCCCTAGTCATCTTTATTACACAGGTACTGTCCCTTTGTCATCGTGGACCAGGGGCAAAGTGCCTTGACAGGTGAGAGCTTGTCCCCAAAAGCCTGGAGTCTGCCATTGGAATTGTATTACTCTCTGGCTCAACACCAGAAAGTTGAATGTGGCAGGGAATTGTGACAAAAAAGCTGACTCTCTCTGAACACAGGCTCAGAACAACCACAGATTTTAAGACTTGCAAACAGTTTTTCAATGAATAGCTGCAACCACAAATCCTGGTTGGCCCATTCTGGAAAGCCTACTGAGCAGTTGTGTACTGAAACAGTTTAATAAGTGCAGTGTAGAAGGATCTAAGCATATTACCTACTTATCTGTCAACCATTTGTGCTGAGGTGGGGAGAAGCAGGTGGAAGAAACAGCACTGAAGTTCTTTTAGCAATTTTAATTAAGCCCCCACCCCTCATTGCTTTTCTCTGCTCTGGCACAGGGTTTTGCCCTAGTGATTGCATAATAAAGGACATGTACAATTGGCCCTGCTTCTCTCTCAGACACACCAGATCATAGGAATTTGAAAAAACTGAAAGGTCATCTCATGAAAGCAGTTCCTCAATTCAGTTTGAACACTTTCAGTAACAGGGAGCTTACCACTTCACAAGACTGTAAGACAACCCTCCTTGTTAAAAGCTGATTCCCTTAAAGTTCAGATCTACTTCTCAGTAAATTCAGTGGGAGGTCCTGCTTTGCCCTCTGACATTACACACATAAAGTCACTTCCTCCATCTTTTCTTCTGTGTATTCAACAAAAGAAAACATGTACTTGTCAAGGAACACTGGTGATACCATGATTAGGTGCTCAGCTGCTGGCCAAAATGTTAGGAGTTCTGGCAGTGTAGTGGTTACAAATCAGGCTGCGACCCTCAAGGTCAGCAGTTCAAAACTACATGCTGCTCTGTGGAAGAAAGATGAGGCTCTCTGCTCACATAAAGATTTACAGCCTCGGTAACCCTGTTAAGGGGCACTATGAGTTGGAACCAACTCCAAGGCACATACACACACACATATGTTCTTTTTATATATACTTTTCATTTATATTATATATAAGCCCATTTCTGCTGAGTCAGTTCTGAATCATAATAATCCTATAGGATAGAGAAGAACTGCCCTGTAAGGTTACCAAAGCTGTAGGATAAACACTGAACTGTGACCGGAGCCCAGCAGCCACTCTGTGGTGGGAGGATGAGGCTTTCTGTTCCTGCAAAGATTTACAGCCTTGGAAACACTCTACAGGGTCTCTCTGAGTCAGAACGGACTCAACAGCACTCAATAACAACAATATCCCAACTAGCAGATGAAGGGATATGTGTGTACGTGGTTTGGCGGTGAAGAGATCATAACTACAAATACAATCAGAGGAGAGATACACTCAGGACCAATTTGTTTCTTTGAACCTTGGGCAATCTCTAAAAATGAAGGATGTAAACACTTAAAATTTTTACCTAAAAACCTAAACTGTGCTTAAATAGCAATTCCAAGAGTTAATTTTCAAAGGTGGATGTGCATTCAACAAAAGAAAGCATGTACTTGTCAAGGAACATTGGAGATGCCATGATTAAGTGCTCAGCTGCTGACCAAAATGTATAGCATTCAGTCAGCTTCCTTAAAGAATACAGCCTTGGAAACCCTGCAGGGTGGTTCTATAGGGTTGTTAGGATTCACAGTTGACTTGACAGCCGTGGCATTACATATAGAATAAATGACGAATGTATTTATACATGTATATTTAAGAAAAGGAATCCAATCATTGGTCAGTTTTGGAAAATGCCGGGAGCCCCCTCATTATGTTGAAAACTGGAAAATAAAGAGAAAATTTCATGCAGTTCTTTGCCTTTCTAATACGGTACACTACCACTCCTCTGTCAGTTTGCCATACTGCGGTCGGTGGCTTGCATGTTGCTGTGATGCTGGAAGCTATGGTGGTGGTGATGTGCCTTAGAGTCAGTTCCAACTCATAGTGATTCTGCATAGAGTTTCCAAGGCTGTGAATCTTTACAGGAGCAGAAAGCCTCATCTTTCTCCTGAGGAATGGCTGGTAGTTTCGAACTACTGAATTCGAGGTTAGCAACCCAACTCACAAAAATTATGCTACCAGTGGTCTTCAGAAGCTTTACTACTGGTATTTTAAATACCAGCAGGGCCACTTTTGTGGACAGGTTTCAGCTGATCTTCCAGACAAAGACTATCCACAAGGAGGGGCAGACTACTTCTGAATGGTTGGTCACTGAAAA